ATCCTACTGCAGAGATACTCATATCTCCATGTTTGTTGCTGCTCTTTCACAATAGCTAAGAAATGAAAACAACCTAAATATCCTTCAACTGACATGTGGATAATGAAAATGTGGTACATTTGCACAATGGAGTAGAACTCAGCAGTAAAGAAAAACAAAATAACGAAATTTACAGACAAGTATACCTGTCACTACTCATCAAAGAAGCTTCTCTTTGCAACAGATGGAAACTAGCACAGAGTTCTACAACTGATCAAAACACAGAGAATAAGTGTCTATGTCATGCCCAGCCCTAAATGGCACATCTACAATGGAACATTTATAACTAAGGCTTATGGAACATAGTGGAACAGAAGGCAGAGAGAAAACTAATTCATCTCTCAACTGTCACCAGCGAAGCTTCCTCACAACAGAGGGTGATTAACACAGAAAGCCGCAACTGGCCAAAATGTAGAGACTAGGAGGTGGCAGAGTGCATGTTCCTGGATAGCATGCCTGTATTAAACCTCACCCACCCAGGGCTCAGGGACCATTGTGGAAGAGGGGGCAGAAAGATTGTAAGAGCCAGGGATGATGGATGACCACAAGGAAACAGTTTTCCAGGCAGCTAGGAACTTGCTAATATGAACTTACAGCAATCGTGACAGCAGGCACAAGACCCAAGCAAACTCAAACCAGACAAAAATCCAGCATAGAGCTGGACGTGGTGCCACATGCCTTTAATCCCAGCTCTTGGGAGGCAGAGCTGGGAGACACAGGCAGCTCTCTGTGAGTTCAAGAACAGTCTGGTCTACATAGTGAGTTCCAGGCCAGTTGAAGCTACAGGGAGACCCTGTCTCAAAAAGACTATAAAAAGGGGGCTGGAGAGATGGCTCAGCGGTTAAGAGCACTAGCTGCTTTTGCAGAGGACCCGGGTTCAATTCCCAGCAGCCACATGGTAGTTAACAACCTTCCATAACTCCAGTTCCAGGGGATCCAATGTCTTCTTCTGACCTCCATGGGCCATTCATTGCATAACATGGGTGCACTTTCACACATGCAGACAATACACTCATACACATAAAATAAAAATAATAAATTTTTTAAAAAGACCATTAAGCCGAGCGTGGTGGTGCACGCCTTTAGTCCCAGCACTCAGGAGGCAGAGGCAGGAGGATCTCTGTGAGTTCAAGGCCAGCCTGGTCTACATAGTGAGTTCCAGGACAGCTGGGGCTACAGGGAGACCCTGTCTCAAAAAGACAAAACAAAACAAAAAAAACCACTAAAAAAAAATCCAGCATAGAAATGGGAAAATGAGTAAGAAGCCCCAAACTTAGCCAAGGAACTATTGGCAGCTGATCACTGCTGGGTGAGAGAGAGTTGGTCTTCTTTAAGGAAGTGACACTAGATGGACAAACTCACACCAAGTGGACATAAACTTGACTCCATAGGCCTTAACATATATGACATAATGCTTGAAATCCAGTGACGGGGCTATGAGGAGGTGCAGATAGGGGAGGAGGTCTAAATATGATTAAGATATATTGCATGAAATGCACAAAATTCAATAAAAAATATATAGGGAAAAAAAACCTGTTCTTATTTCATTTTGAAATGTCCCAGACAGGCTTATGAATTGAATTATTAACTGAATGCTTCATCCCCAGTTGCTGGTGCCATTTTAGGAGGTTCTGAAAACTAAAAACTGGGGCCTGGGTAGAGGAGGTGGTCACTGGGAGCAGGTCCTAATAGATATATTATCCTTGGCTGCATCACTTCTCCCATTCCCCCTCAACAAACCCTGTTTCCTTGTGCATTGTCCTCGTTAGGTTTTACTGTCAACACAACCTAGAGAAAAAGGAATCTCGACTGAGGCATTTCCCAGATCCAACTTGGCCTGCGGTCAGGTCTGTGGGGAATTGTCTTGACTGTTGATTGATGTGGGGGTGGAACTGTTTCTTGGGTCAGTGGGCCTGAGCTTTGTAAAAAAGCTATCTAAGAGTGAGCCAGTAAGCATCCTTCCTCCATGGTTTCCAATTCAGTTCCTGCTTGAGCTCCTGCCCAGACTTCCCTCAGTGATTGACTGTGACCTAGAAGTGGAAGCCAAACAAAACTTTTCCTCTCCAAGTTGTTTTTGGACGTGGTGTTTGCTACAGCAACAGAAAGCAAACTAGGAGATCTGTGATGATGTAAACTGAGCTGTTCTACCATAACTTCCCCCCCATTATGGACTAAATCCTCTGAAAACATAAGCAAATTAATCTTTCATCCCTTAAGTTGTGTCTGTCAGATTTTTTTTTCACAGTGATGCAAAAGTAACTGATACATTTTTCAAACTGGGAAGTGGTCCCCGAGGTAGAATTCTAAACTTCTGAAATGTTAACTTTCAGGTGCTCCTAACAACATCAATGATCTCTCCAAGGTTTCTCCTGTCACTTTAGGCTGGGATTTCTCAACCTCAGAGGCCAGCAGCATACAGTCTCCCAGTTACAATAAAAAATGTCTCTAGTTGAGTGTATAGTGGGACCAACCTGGAATCCTAGCACTTGGGAGACAGAGGCAGCAGGATTGCTGCAAGTTCAAAGCCAGCCTGGGCTACAGATGAAGCCCTTCTTTCAAAACTAAAGGAAGAAAATGTCTACACAAGTTCCCAGTTTGAGACTCACTTAAAAAGCATCTATACTGACAGAAAGCTGGGAAATCACTAACTTGTGAATCAAGTGTGTTATGCCAAGATTTACTTGAGGTATCGTAGAGCCTGTTTCTAGAAAGAGGTCCAGAGTGCTATTCTACCGCTGCTGTTTACTAAGCAACACTCTAGAGTGCAGAGTTCTATAGTGTTTTCCCATGGGTTCTGAACCCTTCTTGAAGGTCAGAGGCACAGGTTAGCTGCTGGCTGGTTCACACTCCAATACTCATCCCAATGGAGGCTGGAGAGCTCAGCAGCTAAGAGCACTTGTTGCTTTTCCAGAGGACCTGAGTTCAGGTCCCAGCACCCACTTCAGGCAGCTCACAACAGTTTGAAACACTAGCTCTAGGGGTATCCATCACCCTGTTCTAGACTCCACTGGTACCCACACATAGAAATCAGACAAACTGGTATATTATTTGGTCAACTCTATGGGAAGACTGACAAAGTAAAATATGCAGGCCTTAGCTGGGGCTGCAGCTCAGTGGTAGAGTACTTGCCTATCATGTGTGAAGCCCTGGGTTCAATCCCTAGTACTGTAAATTAAAGACCTAAGGCACATGCTGCCAAGCCTCATAACCTGAGTTTGATCCCCAGGAACCTCATGCCAGGAATGGTGGGACAAGAGAACTGACTCCAGAAAGTCCTCTGTCCTCCACACATACACCATGGCATGCACTCCCCACCCCATATACACACAGAATTATCTCAATCTGAATCATCTTTATAGCCCCCCCCCGCCAATGAAACCCACTCTGTCCTGGGTGTTAAGGCCCACAGTGTCAAGTCAGTGTCCCCAGACATTCCCCAGTGCAAGTCCATCCACTTGTGGTTTAGTCAGATCCCTCTCAGCTATCTATCCAAACACCTATCATTTTCTTTTTTCTTTTTGTTAACAGAACCTAGGGTGGAGGTTTATTTACAGAGGAGTGGGTGACCCCCCCATTTACAGCTGCATTGGAAAGTCCACATTCAAATATAGATCCTGTGACTTCCTGACAGCCACAGAAAATGGTGAGAGAGGGGCCTCCTGGTATCCTCAGCTTGTATATCCTTAGCCCCTCCCCACGCAGCTAAGGTCGACTGGGTGGGAGGGGCAAATGAGCTTGCAGGCATAGTGGTCTGAGGACACTTCCAGTTAACACTCCACCTCTTCCTCCAGCTCTCCTCAGCTTGTATATCCTTAGCCCCCCCCCCATGCAGCTAAGGTCGACTGGGTGGGAGGGGCAAATGAGCTATAGTGTGACTATAGCTTGCAGGCATAGTGGTCTGAGGACACTTCCAGTTAACACTCCACCTCTTCCTCCAGCTCTTACATTCTTTCCACCAACCTCTTCCGCAAAAGTCCCTGAGTCTTGTACAGGATGGTAGGTGTGGGATGATCTTCCTCCTATTGTGGCAAGGCACCGAACTTTTGGGTCTCTGCATCGTCAGTTTTCCATGGGCTGTTGGTCCATTTCAGTGGGATTCCATCTACTTGATCCAGGCTCTTCTGGCTTTCATAGTTTGCATTGATAAGTCAGCTGTAATTCTGATGGGCTTTCCTTTATATGTGCTTACTCTTTTTCTTTTGCTGCTTTCAGTAGTCTCTTTGTTCTGTACATTTAGTGTTTTTACTATGATATGCCATGGGGAGTTTCTTTTCTGGTCCTGTCTGTTTAGTGTTCTATGTGTTTCTTGTATTTGTATGAGGATGTCTTTCCTTGATTTCGGGAAATTCTCTTCTACAATCCTGTTTAACATCTGGTCAATACCATTAACCTGAGATTCTTCTCCTTCCTCTATGCCTATGATACACAGATTTGATCTTTTCATGGTGTCCCACATCTCTTGCATATTCCAGTCCCAGCTAAAATGTATTTAATTTATGTATATGAGTGTTATGCCTGCATCTGTGTAAGTACACCCATGTCATGCAGGGCCTGCAGAGGACAGAAGAGGGCATCAGATCCCCTGGAACTGGAGTTACAGACAGACAGTTGCTAGCTGCCATGTGGGTGTTGGGATTTGAACCCAGGTCTTCTTCAAGACAAGTCAGTGCTTCTAACTACTGAGCCATCTCTCTAGTCCAAATAATTTTTTTTTAAAGACACTCAGGCATTTGGGAACTTTTAAGGGTTAGAATGCCAGATGTAGGAACTTACAGGTTTGGAGTCCCAAATGCACACTGTTGTAGCTCTTCCTTCAGTTGCTATCAGTTCTGGCTCCCTGGATTTATAGTTTTGACTTTGCTCTAACAAGGATCTGTTGGCAGGCAAGCTCAAGGGAGCACATTAATTACTTCTTTGTTGTTGTGATAAAACACTATGACTGAAAGAGACTTATGGTAGTTTATTTTAGCTTAAGGTTCCAAAGAGAAGGTGAGAGTCCATCATGGCAGGGAGGCACATCATCAAGCAGCTGTCAGGGAGCAGGAAGATGAGAGCTCACATCTTCAACAGCAAACACAAGCAGAAATGTTAGAAATAAAATTTGAGGTCCAATGACCCCATCAATGCTGCAAAAAGAACGATCAATCAGATCCAATAAGTATATACCAGACCCAGAAGCTTGGGGGGCTTTTATCCCTAATGCAAGAGAATTGTGTCCTTCCCCCATTGGCTGGGGTCAGACCTCACAGTCTTTCCTGGTTGGCTGATTTAAAGAGTCCCAAGGAAAAAGAACTTCACTGCTCCAGGTCAAGAGGCTCAGGAATGCATCAGGGCCTTTCCTTAAACAAAAGTCTTACAGGGTGTGGTATTATTAAAAGATTAGAATTCCTGGCTGGGTGTGGTGGTCCACACCTTTAATCCTAGCACTTGAGAGGCTGAGGCAGGCAGATTTCATATGAGTTCAAGGCCAGCCTGGTCTACAAAGTAAGTTCCAGGCTAGCTGGGGCTACAGGAAGACCCTGTCTCAAAAAGACCCAAAACAAACAAACAAATGAAAATATTAGAATACCTTGTCATTAACTAAGTTCCAAGTTTTACAGAATTTGAAAGAAAAGACTAGTATCTACCTATTTCCTACAGAGAGAGTGAGTGAGAAGTGGGGCAAGACTATGAACTCTCGAAGCCTGCCTCAGTGATGTGCTTCCTCCAGCAAGGTCACACCTCCTAAAATTCCAAGACTTCCCAAACAGCACAACTAACTGGGAAGCAAGTGTTTACACACTTGAGCCTATGGGGGCATTTCTCATTCAAACCACAAGAGTGAGTAAGATTATAATGAGCTTCAAAAAAATTTGGGAGGACATGCTAGAGTTTAGGTCCTCAAACTCTAACCCTTAGAAAATCTTAAGAACAGTACAGAGCCAGTAAGATGGCTCAGTGGGTAAAGGTACTTGGAGACAAGTCAGATGACCTGAGTTTAAATCCTGGGACGCACATGGTAGAAGGAGACCTATACACACCCACACACATACACACACAAAATAATTAGATCAATGTAATTTTTCAAAAAGGATGGTTTGCTTTTGTAAAAATACCTGAATCACTATGATTTTTAAAGTTATTTTTAAACATCCAAACATGTTGTTACTGTCTTGCACACCAGATGGCTCTATCTGCCCATGGTTTAAAGTCCAGTTCCCAGCAAGGATTTCTACCTTTGACTTTTGTTTTCTTTTTGATTGATTATTTCTTCAATAATAAGGAACTTATGACAAGATTGATTCATTTTTGCTCAATACAATTTGACATCATTCAAAAGAAATGGATGCAATGGGCACAAATTTTAGTAGACTATTCCTAGAGCCATGGTTCTTCAATTACCATTACCAGGAAGTCGGTCCTTTCAATTCCCCCCCACCCCTATATACTCTGCAGACCTAATTTAACTTTAATCATGAGTCCTTGTAAACTCAAGCCTGATGTTTAGTGCTTAACTCCACATACTAATGATACCTGGGAAGCTGTTAGTCTCTTCTGCCCAGTAAGAAAGAATGCTGAAGCTGGATGTCACCACTCTTGATAGTCATGTCAGCACTTGGGAGGCTGAAGCAGGAGGATCACCACAGTTTTGAGGCCAGGCTGGGCTTCAAAGTGAATTCAGCTGTTTCCACAAAAGAAACAGCTCTTGCCACAGAGGAATAACACACACACAAAATAAAAATAAGTAAGTCAGCCAGGCATAGTAGTGGACTACTCTAATCCTAGCACACAGGAGGCAGAGGCAGGCAGATCTCTGTGAGACTGAGACAAGCCTGGTTTGCATAGTGAGTCCCAGGCCAGCTGGGGTTACAGGGAGACCCTGTCTGAAAAAAACAAAAAGGGAATGAATGGGTGAATGAATGAACAAATAAGATTTAGATTTCCCCCAAATACCATGTCCCAATGAAAGTTTTATGCTAACAGAACAAAGAAAGTCATAAAGTAACAGATTTCATAGGCAGGTTATGGCAAAGTGAGGAAACTCAGCTATTGGATACTGTCTGACAACACTCTTAGCCCTTTGACTGGTGGATGCTAGGAATCTGTTCATATATTCTGAAGGATTTTTGTCTGTTCGTCACAGGATGTTAGGTCCAACACAGAGGCAGGCAAGGAATGGCTATTTAGGGGGCATAGGATGGCCCAATAAATCTTTAAAATAATAATATTGCTACCTCCTTCAAACCATGTTGGAGGTTTGAGCTAACACATATCATTAATGTAACTAAGAGTTTGATCAGGAAAATAAGCCAGTGTTCCAACACTCGGAATTTAAAGAGGGAATTTACCATGTAGGGATCGGAAAAATTAAGAAATGTATTTGACGATGCAAATAAGAGAAGAGCAAGAGAGGAAAAGCTACTTACTGGCTACAAGGTGTGTAGCCTGGAAACGACTTATCCTTGGAAAAGCTGGAGCTGGGAGGGAGCGTAAGGCACCCTGGGAAGAAGGGTGGAGCCTAGCCCAAAAGAGTTCACATGGCAGCCAGATTGAAATGGAAAGAAGGAAGTGTGTGGAGCCTCGGGGGTGAATGGCAGGGGCGTCCTGCAGGCATGGTAATGAGATGGGGCATTTACAGACCTGGGGTGAGACTGAGGGTCCACAGGGCACTTACGGAAGCTGACAGAGACCGTGGGCGGGTCGTGGAAGCAAGGTGTCTTTGTAAGACATCCCGACTTCCTACCACAAAGGAAACCCAAGCTAAAAATGTCTTAGGTTAGTCTGTGAGCCTTGGGGCCTTGGGAGGGTGCACACTGAGCCTCCCAAGAAGGGACAAGGGGAGAAAATTTAGTGCGACAGGGTCATACAGAGGAAGCCGGGAAACTGGGAAGAAGAAGGGGGCTGAGCCCTGAGAAATCAGTCACAACAGGAAAACCCCTAAAGAAGTCACCATAGAGACGCATATCCTGGCATTCTGTCAGATAGCTCTTCCTGGAATCCAGAGACCGCTCGGAAGACAGCAGGATGAAACAGGCACTGTACCCCTCCAGTATTTAGCGCCACATGTGGCTGTGGCCCTTAGAACCGAGGATGGAGAGTGGAGGGCACATATCAGGATCACTCTGTGCTTTGTTGGTATAAAAAACACAATTCTCAGCTGCGCGTGGTGGTGCACCTTTGATCCCAGCACTGGGGAGGCAGAGGCAGGCGGATCTCTGTGAGTTCAAGGCCAACCTGGCCCACATAGTGAGTTCCAGGACAGCTGGGGCTACAGGGAGACCCTGCCTCAAAAAGACCAAAAAAAAAAGTAAAGTAATATGAAAAAACTTAGGCCGGTCATGGTGGTGCACGCCTTTGATCCCAGCACTGGGGAGGCAGAGGCAGGCGGATCTCTGTGAGTTCGAGGCCAGCCTGGTCTGCATAGTGAGTTCCAGGACAGCAGAGCTACAGGGAGACCCTGTCTCAAAAAGACAAAACAAAACCAAAAAACCCCACAATTCTCTTTTCAAAGGGGATAAGAGATTGTTTTGAAGCCAAATATGACTGACCAAGGCCCAGGAACACAGACTTAGGATACCCCAAATCCCATGTTCTAACATGCTAACAGTTTGATGACATTTTTATAGTAAAAGAACAAAGAAAGTCATGTATCAAGGCATTTTCCAAGTACATTGGTGCTTATAGCAGGTAGGCAGGTAGGTTACAGAAAATCAGGGAAAACTCTGCTATAGGCCAGGTTACGTTGGTGGACAATCCATACGCTGACAATAAAGAGAAAGAGCTCAAATATTTAAGCAAAGAATATATAGAAGAAAAACTTAAAAATCCATAAGACTCTTCCTCTGATTCCAAAACCACCAGACGCATCTTCAAAGAAGGATATTCTGGGCAAACAACATCCATCAAGTTCAGGGAGAAGAAATCTCCTTTATGTGAGTGTGAGTGTGTGTGTGTGTGTGTGTGTGTGTGTGTGTGTGTGTGTGTGTTATATACAGGTGCAAACCTCTGTATGGGTACATGGAGACCAGAAGTTAATGTCAGGGTGTCTTTAAAATTTTTATTTTATGTATATGAATGTTTTGCCTCCATGTATGTAGTTGCACCACATGTTTGCAATGCCTATGGAGGCTAGAAGATGGCGTAGGATCCCCTGGAACTGGAGTTACACATGATTATTAGCCATCAGGTGAGGACTGTGAACAAACCTGGGTCCTCTGCAAGAGCAGCCAGTGCTCTTAACTGCTGAGCCGTCTCTCTTGCCCCTTCTGCTTTATTGAGACAGACTCTTCCTAGACCTGAAATTATCTGTGTCTCAAAACCAGCTGGCCCATGAACACCAGGATCCATGTCTCTACCCTCTTCGTGCTGGAATTACAAGCATTGTGCATCCATGCTGATTTTTACCTGGATGTTATGGATGTGAACTCAGGTCCTCATGCTCATGCAACCAGCACAGTATCCAAGCCAACCCAGAAACCCCCTTTGTCTGTTAATGCATACTCTTCCTGCTGTCTTTGAGGCCCACTTTCCTGATGTCCTATGGAAGGTTTCTATTGTGTTCTGTATTTTACAATGTTAATTGTTTGGATTGTTTTGGCCTCTCAGAAGCATTCTTTGCTCAAAAGTGTGTGTGTGTGTGTGTGTGTGTGTGTGTGTACGTGTGTGTCTGTGTGTGTTAAATGTAGTGAGCTCTGTGTAATACTGGTAATACAGAAGTTCACAAGGCTTAAGTTGCTCTTTTGATTGTCAAGTTAAGATTGGTATATTAGCAATTGCCCAGTAATAACAAAGACTGCATTGTAATCACAACTGTCTCTCTAAGAATGCCAAGGACATAATTGAGTGTTTTATAAACTCTATATTTATTCAAGCATATCCAGTATGGTAATCTAGAGCTTTTTTTATTTGCTGCAAATTTTCTGTATTAAGAAAGTGTGTTTCAGCCGGGTGTGGTGGCGCACGTTTGTAGTCCCAACACTTGGTAGGCAGAGGCAGGCGAATCTATGTGAGTTCAAGGCCAGCCTGGTCTATATAGTGAGTTCCAGGCCAAATGGGGCTTCAGGGAAACCTGTTTCAAAAAGACCAAAAAAATAAAAAAGTATGTTTTCACAAGGACAAGTTGGAGAGGGGAAGAAATGATATAAACATAATACTTATGTATGAAATTCTCAAAAAATTAAATTTAAAAAGAAAATTTTTTTTTCAATTCAGGTGACTTTAGTCAAAGGTCATACAATCAACTGAAGTTAACAGCAGCTTAGAATGAGTGAATAATCACGAGCAAACTTAACAGAGAGATTATGTGTCAGATTGAGAGCTCTTTGAAGGAGAAAAGGAATTTAATGTCACTTTTGTGTATGTCTAATAATCGTTTTAGAGCTGGTTTAATATGTTATGACCTAGTACTCACCCTATGTGGTTTTATGATTGCTTACTAAAATTTGCGTTGAAAGAAATCAAACCTAAAATGGAGAAAGCGATCTTGAGAAAGGAACACCACAGTTATCCACTGGAACATCTGTTTGCAACTCTCTTGTTTACAATAAATTCTGTTGTTAAAGAAAGTCTTAACTCCTGCCCTAAATATCTGCCTCTGCAAATGTGCCTGCAGCAGGAATTTCCCCTCAGTGGTCTCATAGCACATGTTAAGCACCTTTCTGATAGTCACGTAGGGTGTAACTTAAGCTCACCAACGTTGTAACAGAGAATGATGCAGGGAGATCTATACAACTGTGAAGGAATTCAACTCCAGACTAGAGTTTTGTGGGGTTTTTATTTATTTTTTATATGTATGAGTGTATTGCCTGCATGTATGTAAGTGCACCCGTGCAGTGCAATATCCCTAGAGAACAGAAGAGGGAATCGGATCCCCTGGAACTGGAACTACAGAGGTTATTAGCCACCATGTGGGTGCTGAGATTTGAACCCAGGACTTCTGCAAGAATAGTCAGTGCTCTTACTGCTGAGCCAGCTCCCCAGATTGGAGTTTTTAAGAGGACACTCTGAGTCTGCTGGCATGATTATACTTTCCTGGTTTCTCTACCAGATTCCGTGGAGCCTTCTTTGTGTGTGGTGGGTCTCATGCCTCAGGTTCCTATAGCATTCTGATTAGAGTAGCTCTGTCATTAAGCAATAAAATGTAGTTGCTTGACCTACTGATCAGCAAAAGTTTGCTTTCCCTTGCAGCTGGAGTGATTGTTGGGGACAGAGAATTATCACCCTGGGCATCAGAGGCAATGAAGAAAAGTCATTATGACGCTGAGGGCAGACAACTCCGGGTCTGCCTCCAGGATCCTTTGCTTACTAGCTAACTAGAAAATATGCCCATGTTAACCAGGGCAACTTAACTTCTTCAAAGCCCATCCTCTCATCTGTATAGGTGAATTATCATTAATACTTCTTAATTATAGGCTTCTTAGCTGAGGCAGAAATACATGAATGTAAGCTCCCCTTCTCCCCTTTGGGCTTTGTGACAAGATCCCGACATGTAGCTTAGGTTGGTCTGGAGCTTGCTATCCTCCTGCCTTGGGCTCCTGAGAACTTGGATTATCAGCCTGCCATGCCTTGCTATCCAGACCCTTCTCCCCTTTGGGCTTTGTGACAAGATCCCGACGTGTAGCTTAGGTTGGTCTGGAGCTTGCTATCCTCCTGCCTTGGGCTCCTGAGAACTTGGATTATCAGCCTGCCATGCCTTGCTATCCAGACCATTTCCTTAGTGTGTTCCAAGTATACTCCACTAGGTAGAAACATCTCCAGAAGGTAGAAAGTATATTCTTACACACATAGGATGAATCATCTCATAGAAAACAATCATTCCATCATAGGAGGTAATCAGATCTGAAATTCTGGAATAAGAGGCAACCTGTACTAAATAAAGATGCTTTGTATGCTGATGGCAGCTTCCAGGTTGAATAGAAATCCATCGGGAGATGTCCCAAAGCACATAGATCCAGAGCAGTTGGTGGTAAGTGTAGCCTTTGGCACCCTTGAAGTGCGTCTGGTGAATGCCACTTCTTAAGAATTTAAAAACTCCTTTGTCATACCGGCTACTTGATTTACAGATACCTTTCACACAGCTTATAGTTCTGCATTGCTTCCTGGATTTCTTAGTTTAACACCCGCCTCCCAAATGTTTTTGCTTTTCACTCTAGTCACAGTTCTTCACACAGCTAAATTAATCACAAAGTTCATTAAAATTGATCATAAGGATATTCATTGCTACATTATTTACAAAAAACCCCCCACAAATTTCAATTTATTTAAATAAACATGAGAACAAAGAAAATATCTCAACAAAATCCATTTCTTTGGATATTACCCTCAACAAATTAATTTTAAAAGATTTTAAAAAATAGGGTCAGTGGGGCTGGAGAGATGGCTCAGCAGTTAAGAACACTGAATGTTCTTGCAGAAGACCCAGGTTCGAATCCCAGCACCCACACGGCAGCTTACAACTGTCTGTAACTCCAGTTCCGGGGATCTGACGCCGTCTTCTGACCTCTGCAGGCACTGCATGACACGGGTGCACTTACACCTTACACTTGCACTTACACTTACATGCAGGTAAATACACACATTCACATAAAATAAAAATAATAAATAAAATATGTCTATAAAAAATAGGGTCAGTGAGATGACTTGGTGAGTAAAGGCCTTTGCCACCAAACCTGATGATTTGGGTTCAATTACTATGACCCACATGGTGGAGGGAGAGAACTGAGTTGTTCTCTGATCTCTCTCTCTCTCTCTCTCTCTCTCTCTCTCTCTCTCCACACACACACACACACAGTCTTTTTGAGACAGGGTCTCCCTGTAGCCCCAGCTGGCCTGGAACTCACTATGTAGACCAGGCTGGCCTTGAACTCACAGAGATCTACCTGCCTCTGCCTCCTGAATGCTGGGGTTAAAGATGTGCACCACCACTCCCAGCAATAAATATATTTTTTAAGATTTCGAAAAGAAATGAATGTGAAACATTTATATTTAGGTGCTTAAATAAAATTCCAACCAAAAATACATTCAAATCATAGCAAACACACAAGTGCCAAGTGAATTCCACTGTGGGACATTGTAGAACTTTAGGAGGCACACTAGGAAGAAGATAGAAAAAGTGCTTATGGTTGTAAATAAAGGAAAAGAGGCGATAACAGTTTTTGTACAGTCTGTTCATCTGTGCCACCTCTCAGGGGTGTTGCTAGACTTATATGGACATGCTCAGTAACGTGAATTAGGTGCTGAATGAAAACAACCAAGTGAAAGGTAATTTGTAGCATGCTTTTCTGTTCTTCAAATTTTCCTAAGGGGCTGAAGAGAGGGCTCAGTGAGTGCTTGCTGATTTTGCAGAGGACCAGATTTCAGTTCCCAGCACCCATAAAGTGGCTCACAACCATCTGTAACTCCAGTTCCAGGGGACATGATGCCCTCTCCGACCTCTGCAGGCACCAAGCATGTATGCAGTGCACATGCATACATGCAGGAAAAATACTCATATACACATATGTATTTTTTTAATCTTAAAATATTTTTCTCAAACCAGGCGTGGTGGCGCACACCTTTAATCCCAGCACTCAGGAGGCAGAGGCAGGCGGATCTCTGAGTTCGAGGCCAGCTTGGGCTCCATAGTGAATCCAGGACAGCTGGGGCTACAGGGAAACCCTGTCTCAAAAAGACCAAAAAAAACTTTTTTTCTATAGTGTTGCACATTAGTTTAAAAGATTTAACTTTTACATATATGCGTTTGTGCCTGAACGTACATATGTGTACCACATCCATTTAGGTACCTAGAGGAGCTAGAAGAGGGCGTCAGATCTCTGAAACTGGAGTTACAGCGTTTGTGAGCTGCCTGCTGAATGTGAGTGCTTAGACACAAACCTGGGTCCTCTAAGAGCAGCCAGTGCTCTTAACCACAGAGCAGTCTCTCCAGACTCCTGCATTGCTTCCATAAGCGCTATATTTTTTTTTCAAAGATGCCATATCTGAAGTGTTTTGCTCTTATATTGTCATTTCAAATGTCACCTCACGTGCAAGATCAATCAATGTAGATGAGAGATCTCCCAATCTCACTGGTGGATGAGGAAGTAGAGGCTGGAATGTTGTCATGTCTGCAATCGTATAGGTAGTAAGGCCAGCTCCTGGGACTTCTGACTCCAAGTGCCTTGACCTTTCTGACCTTGAATCTAACTTGTATTTCAGGCAGGCTCTGAATTGAACAGAAATCAGATCCCAGTCTCTGCTCAGTCCTCCAATTGCTGGGTGATTTGTTTGTTTTTAGACAGGGTCTCCTTGTAGCCCCAACTGACCTGAAACTCTCTACGTACACCAGGCTGGCCTTGAAATCACAGAAATCCATCTGCCTCTGCCTCCTGAGTGCTGGGATTTAAGGTCTGCACCACCAGGGCTGGTAATTCATGAGGGCAGATCTTTTCTGTTTGGGGTTCTATTTCTATCTTGGTCTCTTGACTCCATAATTCAAAGGATCTCCTGTTTCTTTTTCTTTTTTTTGTCTTTTTTTTTCTTTTGTCTTTTTGAGACAGGGTCTTCCTGTAGCCCCAGCTGTCCTGGATTCACTATGGAGACCAAGCTGGCCCAGAACTCATTAAGTAGACAGACCACACTTTGAACTCACAGAGATCTGCCTATCTCTGCCTTCTGCGTGCTAGGATCAAAGGTGTGTGCCACCACGTCTGGCAGGATCTACTTTTTCCATTATTTCTTCAGGTGGTATGTTCTAGTTTGCTTTCTGTTGCTATGATAAAACACTCTGACCAGAATCAACTTAGAGGAGGAAAGGGTTTATTGGGTTTATGCTTTCAGGTCATAATCCATTACTGAGGGAAGTCAGGGCAGGGACTGAAACAGAAACTAGGAAGGAACATAGCTTCCTGGCTGGCTTTCCCTGACTCATGCTCAGCTGTTTTTCTTATATAGCCCCAAACCCTGCATAGGGATGGTACCACCCACAGTGGGCTTGGCCCTCCTACATCAATTACCAACCAATAATGTCCCACAGACATGCCTACAGGCCATCTGATCGAAGCAATTCTTCAATTGAGGTTGCTGCTTCCCAAGTGGCTCTAGGCTGTGTCATGGACAGCAAGTACTAACCAGGACAAAAGAGGGTTCCCTTAGCAAGACATTGGGCATTGCTGACCTGGAGTGACTGGGGAGTCGCTTTCATCTCACTTTGTCGGATTCACTTATTTTTCCATTTCCATCATGTTCCTTTGTTATCATTTTGTTGACCTATTTTTCATACCATTCTCAGAAACGATCTTGTTTCAGGAAGGCTCCTGAGGCCCTCCAAACAATGTAGACTATTGCCACTGCTGTTAGTAGCCTACCAGGAGATGGCAAGTACCTGTTGCAGAAGACACCACACATTTTGTTGGCAGGACACAGAGATATCACGCTGGAGCTGAGTGTAGGATCCTTCCCTGCAGCGTACCTTTCAGGGGGTGGAAAGTGCTATGAAGGCTGTGGAGGAGAACTGGCATCAATAGTCTATTCAGTGCAGACCTAGTGTGCTAACTACCTGTCTGTCAGACAAGATGCGCCCACTCATGCAACAGTGGCATGACATTAATGGGGGTTACCAACAACTTACTGGATTTGAAGCCCACTTCACAGGAGGGAATTCATGTCTAGGACTGTAATCCTGGTCAAAAGTCCATGGCTAGAGATGCTATAGGCTCGCTGGGGAAGCCACTGTTGTTTTTCTAAATGAACATGATGTGTCCCAATTTTCTTTCTAATTATTTATGCTCATTCCCACAGATTGCTGTTGCTATAAACTTTGGTTACAGAAATGTCTTTTTTTTTTTTTGCAGTAGGTGGCAGTTATTACAGAGACTCATAAGTGGTCAAAGTGCTGAAGACAAGGGACTGTTGAATGCTCAGTTCAAATAGGACATCTCTATCTCCCCCTCTGAGGCTCTGAGGACATTGCAGAAGAAGAGGTTGAAATAATGGAGGAGTCAGAGGAACAGACGGAAGGCAGAGCCTTTGTAAGCGGTTGCTTATCCATAGCCCCCACACCTGGCACACTATCAGAACCACAGCTAATTTGATAATTGTTAACTGAGTTAATGAAATTGTCGGTATGATTATAAAGATATGATATACTGCTGACTTAACTTTTTGCTGCTATGACCAAATACCTTTATCATGATTTATGTGCCTTTGATATCTAATATTTTATTTGCTTTGTACTTTGGACATTGTCTTCAATGGCTTACTCTTCATTCCGAAGTATTATCTACTTTTGATTGTGATTTCTTCTCTTTTTTGTATATTTATTTATTTATTATGGATGAGTGTATTGCCTGCATGTATGTAAGTACCTGTGTCTCACAGTTCCCCTGGAGGTCAGAAGAGTGTTGGATCCTCTGGAACTGGAGTTACAGACGGTTGTTAGCTACCATGTAGATGCTGGTGACCAAACCCAGGTCCTCTGCAGGAGCAGCCAGTGCTCTTAACCACTGAGCCATCTCTCCAGCCCTACATGTATCTTTAGAGTAAAGCAGTGAGAGGAGAGAAAGAGTGAGAGAGAGAGAGAGTAAGGAAGCACAAAAGAACCAAGGGGATTTCCCCTACTGCCTTGGGACGAGAGACCTTAGAGAAAAAGCTTCCTCTGCTTGGGAGTTTAAGTTCCTGCTTGTTAAACTACAACCATCATCCATCACTACCACTGTTAATTATTGTTCTGTCTAGGGATTCGAGTGGGGGAAATTAGAAAAAATAAATACTGTGCCCACAGGGTTTCCTAATAAGAACTGTGTTCTAGTACATGAGTAATCTTGGGCTGCCATATCAAAATACCCTAAGCTGAATGACTTAAACAACAGGCATTTCTTTTCTCACAGTTCAGGAGTCTAGGTGATCCTGATCAAGGTGCCAGAATATTCCATTTCTGGTGAAGTCTCTCTACTTGGCTTGTACCTCACTATGTCTTCATGGCTTTCCTTCTGTGCTGTATCAGGGCAGGAGAGGAGGAGAACCAGTGCTTTTCAGTATCTATTGATATTGGACTCGATCTTAATAGTTTCCTTAGAGGCTCCATCATCTCTAAACACATCCACACGATGGGTCAGCACATGACTTGAATGTCAAATTTCCTCTAAAGGCTCATATGTTGGAGGCTTAGTCTGACAGCACTATTTGAGAGTGGGAACTTTGGTAGATAGAGCTGAGCTTGAAGAAGCAGGTCGCAGGGGGAAGACCTTGATCTGAGCTCTACACCTTATTTTTTAAGACAGGATCTCTCACCGAACCTGGAGCTGAATGATGTGGCTAGACTGGCTGGCCAGCAAATCCCAGGGATTCTCCTGCCTCTGCTTCCCCAGTTCTGTGATTACAGTTGCTTGTCTCTGTGCCTGACATTTTTATATGCATTCTCAGGGATCACACTCAAATCTTTTATGAATGTCCAGCTAGCATTTTACTGACTAAACTATCTTCCTAGTTCTCAAGATAGGAATTTTTGCAAGAGCTGGGGGCATGGGAGACAAACGTTCAGTTCATATAAGCTGGGAATAGAGGTCTTATCTCGAAACTCTGTCCATATCCCTCACAGTGTTCTGGAATTTGGATTGTGTAGGAAACTAGTCAAGGATATATGTGCAGAGAAAATCAAGAAACAAACCATCACCAGAATAAAACCCAGGAAATTTATTGCTGGTTGAGTGGTACTTTAAATTCTGGTATCTTTCCCAAAATTGCTTGCTACTATTTAATTTTTGTTTTTACATTGATGAAACAACTTTATTTTATTTAACAGATAAACTCAAACTAAAAACTCAGCCACTCCACTTGTACAATTTTTTAGAGGAACATTAATACCAATATCACTTTGAATAACTGTAAAAAATAACTCAAATATCATCAACATGTGAATGAATGAGCTAACTTTTATATACGTAGAATACCACTCAACCCAAACAGTTGTAAAACATTATATAAACTTTGTACAAATTCACTTATATTTCCAGAAAAGGAAACATCTACAATGGCAAGAAGATATGGACTTCACTGGGATGTGGAGGGACACTGCAGGAGAAAGGAGAACATGTAGGGCTTATGGAGAAACATTGTGAGTGCCCAAAGTGTTCAGTTTCTTAGTTGGTACAAAAGGTCTTCAGGAATCTGCATATTCAACACTTACAAATTGAATGCCTGAAAGATGTTATAAGTCAATTCTGTGGGGCTGGAGAGATGGCTCAGTGGTTAAGAGCACTGACTGCTCTTGCAGAGGACCCGGGTTCGATTCCCAGAACCCACATGGCGGCTATGAACCATCCTTAACTCCAGTTCCGGGGGAATCCGAAGCCCTCTTCTGACCTCTGCGGCATTGCATGACACGGGTACACTCACATACATTCAGGCAATACACTCATACACATAAAAATAATAAAATATTAAAAAATAAGTCAATTCTGTTTTAATAGTGCCATTAAAAATTTCAGGGACAGGAAGTGTGTTCCAAGAAAAGTCTACTACTCAAGAATGAAGTCTAGACCATCATGGTGTGAGCTAGACAGCTCCCTAGATTCCCTGAGTTAGAAACACTTTGCAAAGCTTGCCTCAGCAGGTGGCCACTAACACCTGTCACTCCTTCCTCCATAAGTGAGTCAAAGGAGGAAAGAAGAAAGGTGACCAGAACTGGTTAACCAGTAGGTTTTTATGTACAGAACCAGGGAGAGGGCAGGGTGTTGAGTCACTGCAGAGGGGAAAGGGAAGCAGGGGCCTCCTGCCAGGTCCAGGACTGGAACAAAGTGCTCTCAGCTTGAATCAGCCTGGTGAGCAATCAGGCAAACAGGGAGGGAGATCCACACCACCTTTCTACTGGCCACCAGTCCCCACCTTACATGGCATGCCTTGTGCCTGAATGGGCACCAAGTTTTCAGAACAGAACAGTAACACGACAGCAGCCGTACTTACCGTGTCCTCTTCAATCCTGAGCTGAAGTTGCAGACTCTAGACTTGAGGACTTGAGTAGGCAGACCACACCCCATGGTTCCTCAGCTTGGTGGCATCGCCCATCCCACAATTGCTGGTGTATTGGCGAGCTGGTGGATTCTCCAGTCTGCTTCCTGTCTTGTTCTTTTTCCAAGAATGGAAAGGGAAGACAGCAAAGGGGAACTTTTATTTGCTGTGTAGGGATACTTTTTAAATGGGAGAGTAGGAACTTAAATGGGAAAATGGAAAGTCAGAACCTCAGTGACAGCAGGTTGCCACTGGGGGGTACAAGTGTCACAGCTCTGTGCTCTCAGCAGGAATCAGGGTGCCAGCCAAAAGATTGTCAGCAGGTATAGTTCTCTGCAGCTCTTAGAGGGCTTTGGAGGTGTCAGCCAAGAGCAGTCTCTGGTGGAGCAATTCTACAGAGAAGGAATATCAGGAACAGTACTTTCCCCTCTCTGGCAGGCTCAAAGGACAAGACAGGAATGAACAATGAACCCAAAAGGGAGACCTCTATAGACCCCAACCCATAAAGCAATTCCTGCCCTGCAAACAAGTCCATCAAAGACCCCCATCAACCCTAACCATAAAGCAGTTTCTGCTCTGCAAACAGGACTTGCTCTGCAAACAAGTCCTTCTGAGACCCTCATCAGAAATTCAGGCCCTAAATCCTTTACCCGACTCCCGTGACTCTATTTATACTTCAGCTCCCCTGCTGTTTGGCTGGTGTAGCCAGTGTGGCTACTGCAGAGTCCTGCTGGTCAGTAGTCATCCCTCATTGACTAGTAAAGGTCAATTCGGATTGTTGAGGCTGGTGCTTTTCCCTTCCACCTGTGACTCTTTCAACTCCTAACATTTTTTTCCAGTTGATCTCGCCCTCTCCCTCTCCCTCTCCCTCACCCTCTCTCTCCTCTCTTTCTTTCTCTCTCTCTCTTTGTCTCCCCCTCTTTCTCTTTCTCTCTCTCTCCCCCTCTCTTTCTCTTCCTCTCTCTCCCCCCTTCTCTCCTTCTCCTTTACTCGCCCCCACCAGACTTTGAGTACCCTCCCTGTCCCAAGCCAGCTTTAGTTAAACACAGCCGATAGGTGACCTGGAGACCTCCAGACCTCACTGGGGCCACAGATTCTCAAAGGCTCATTGCTACACAAGTGGGGAAAGCCTTTGTTCTGAAGGTCATGTTGGATGTTTTAGGGAACCCACAAGGGAGATCTTGTATTCTCTGTCTCTGTCTTTCTCTCTGTCCTTGTCCAGCAACCTCCCATCCAGAGGCCTTTTGCCATTGGCTGTAAGCTGCATCCAACACTTTTACAACATGGACAGTAGAGAGGGTAAGGAATTATGTATATTTATATTCAGAGTTGGGTGTTCAGATCCAGGGATGCCCATTCTTTATACCCAAACTTCTCCAGGCTTAGAATCTCTCTCTGGCCCCTTCCTGGGCATCAGAGGATGCTTTGCTGCCTCAGATTTAGCCCTCTTCTTCACTCTACTGTCCACTGTGGGGTCAAATATCTCCATTTCAAAAGATAAATACACTGACCTGTACCCTAAATATCTTCCTCCAGCAGAATGGGGCAAATGGTCTGAGGCCCCTTAAGCCCTCTCTCACCGTCACTCCTGCCCCTCTCTCTGTCTCTCTTTTTTGTTCCTCTCTGCAAATTCCTGCCTGCAACACGGCCCATGTCATCTGGGCAGCAGGTGGTGGTCTGAACCAGTTTGTCCCCTGTCCCATCCCATCCCCTGCTGAGGTATTCTGCCCAGTACTTCTGCTTAGATCACATGGTCCAAAGACAGCTGCTTTTTAACTCTTAAAGATAATAATAACACAAAGATACTTTAAGACCAGCCAGTTACCACTGGGCTTAATTCTTTTGTCTGATGTAAACCACTGAGTTTAATTATTTTGAAGAAAAACAAATGCCTTTATATACATCCTGTTAAGAAATTGTTATGTGCCATTTAAAATCACAGAAAAGATGACTTGGGAACTGGGATTGGCCCTCCCACATCAGATTCCAGTCTACTTAGCTCTGAAAGATCCCTCTATAGAGCCGGTTAGTCACCTGACTTTATGACAGGGGAAGGACAAAACAGCCAGAATAAAAACAATTATCATCTCATGGTATAGCAATATCTGTAATTAAAACAAGTAATGACATGCTCTATCTTGTCACAATAATT